ATATTCCCCTTTGTCTGACCCTCTGTCCTTTTCCCTCCCTCTTCTCACACTCTCTGGTTTCTACAGTTGTCTTCCATTCCTTTTCCTCCCACATTTTATTGGTCACACAATTTCTTAAATAATCTACTTTCAATAGCAAGTTAAGCTGGTAATTTCAAGAAAAGCAGTTTTGAATTGGTAAGGAAATTTGCTTAAAACTTAAAGCTTGAAGGGACTAGCAGTTAGCATAATGGCCATGTCGCTGAACTCCCATGTAGCCAACCGCGGCTCTAGTCCCGGACTCAGTGGCTTAAACTCACGCCAGTAGTGTGTGCATGTGTGCCCAAGATCCCCAGAGGAGAATGGAGGGAAGGGATTGCGGCATGGCCATCCCCCCGGGGGGTGATTTCTTGCTTTCTGTCTCTATGCAGAGATGTAAGCATTTCGAACTGGGAGGAGATAAGAGAAAAGGTCAAGTGATCCAGTTCTAAGCCTCATCTTTTCTATTATGAAGATGGCAAAATCCTGAGGTGAATGTTCACCTCATTTGATTACAGTTGGTCTGTTTGTAAGGGAATAAAGTAATCAATAAAATTCCCCTTTTGGGGAAATTTGATTCATAGTACTACTTGTTTTAGATTAAATCTGGCTGGCTGAGCTCACACACACACACAAAAGTACAATGAGACACCACCTTAGCCCAGTCAGAATTACTAAGATAAAAAAATAAAGAATGGTAAGTGCTAGTGAAGCTGTGATGAAAAGGGAACTCTCCTACACTGTCGGTGGGAATGTAAATTAGTACAGCCACTGTGGAAAACAGTATGGAGATTACTCAAACACCTACAAAGAGAACTACCATATAATTCCACTCCTGAGTATCCACCCAAAGAATAGCAAAACACTGTTGGAAAAACACTTGTACATCCATGTTTATTGCAACATTATTCACAATTGCTAAGACATAGAACCAACCTGAACAGATGAATGGATTGAGAGGTGTGGAACATATACAGTACAGAAGAATACTACTCAGCCATAAAAAATAAAAATAAAAAATAAAAAAAGATGAAGACCCTGACATTTGATAGAAAGTGAACAAATAAGGAAGATTTACTGCTAAGTGAAGCAAACCAGACAATGAAAAAGAGAGGCAATGTATGTCCCCACTCAATATATACTGAGTGTTGGCACTCTATGGCAGAAACGGAAAGATTGGAAGGTATAAAAACATGGAGAGCGATGGTGATACTGAAAACAGTGAGGGAAGCAGGGTGGGAAATGAAAGAAGGCGAGAGGGAGGGAATCAAGGGGAAGAAGAAAGAAGCAGAACATTTAAGGGACCCAAAATGGAAAGAAATCTGTTGATTATAATGTATATGGTAATATCTTTGACTGAACTGATGGGAAAATTCATGTATTCATGATGGGAAAATTCATTTGGTATGCTGTAATGATAATGATTAAAAGTAAAATATACATATATTTTTAAAAGCTCAGTTATTAGTTCTAAGAGATTGTTTGTTGGTTTGTTTGAAGGTTTTTGCAATAGGGCGTGTGTGCTAGCCAGAGAGAGATAAACAATGAAAAGGAAAGTGAGAAATCACCCCCCAGGGCAGATGACCATGCCACAATTCCTTCTCTTTCATTTTCTTCCTGGGATTTTGGGTACACATACACACATAACCTGGCATGATTTTCAATCCACCGGGTCCAGGACTCAAATCACCATCAACTATGTGGGTGTTCAACACTCCAACCACTACATAACCTGTGGGAACCAGTTCTAAGGGCTTTTCGGTAGATTTTTTGGTATTTTGGGGGTACATACAATCATATAAAATGTGAATGGGGACAATTTTATTTCTTCTTTCTAATCTATATTCCTTTTATTTATTTTCTTGCATTATTGTCCTGGTTAGGACTTTCAATACAATGTTGAATAGAAGTGGTAAGAGTGGACAATTTCCCTTTGTTCCCAATGTTAGGAGAAAAGCATTCCATTTTTCAACATTAAATATGATGTTACTATAGTTTTTCTGTTTCGCCAAGTGAAAATGTCCTGTCTTGAAATATGGATAGGTTCATGCACCTACCATTTGAACAGAATCCTAACCTGTTTCCTGGCTTTAAGCAAAGATCCTTAGCATTTTTTTGATTTAAGTTAAAACTGGTTTTCTTAATAGTACCAAGTGGACTTACTATTGAAAGTAGTTAGATTATTTAAGAAATTGTGTGACCAATACAATGTGGGTGGGAAAAGAATGGAAGACAATTGTAGACACCAGAGATAGTATAAGAAGAGGGTGGGAAAGGACAGAGGGTCAGAAATAGGGGTAAAAAAAAAATTCTAGAAACTAGAAATGGAAAATTTTTGATAATATGAATGATTAAGTCACTATGCAGTATATTCTGGATGGGAAATCACATTTTATATGCTGTGATGATGCTTAGGGAAAG